ACTTTTCCAATCCCACCAGATACAGAGCAAAACCTTCTTGGCGTGGATATTGGGCTTTGGCGTCGATGTCGAAGGTTGACCAGGGTCAACCCATGATTTTCTAGGGTTTAGGGTTATTATAAAGAATCCACTTTTCATCGCCTGTAATGATTTTGTGCAGAAAATCTTTTTTCCGGAACTTTGAAAGCAAAGTGAGTGCAGTGTCACGCCGACGATTTTTGTTGTCTTCGGACAATTCATGCGGAACCCATCTGCCTTCCTTTCCCATCGTATGTAAACGTATGGAAATGGTTTGCTGCGTAACGCCAAGTTCTGCAAGCTCCTTTTCAGTTTGCGCAGAATTTATATCCAGCAGTGCTTGCAATTCGTCCGTTTCAATCTTTTGAGGGCGTCCAGCACGCGGTTCATCTTCAAGACTGAAATCTCCTTGGCGAAATTTTTGATATCATCTTTTACATGTAGTATGACTTACAACATTCTCTCCATATGCAGCACAAATCATTGCAATGGCTTCAACAGCATTTTCCTTCAGATGAAACGCGAAGTGGATGGAAAATCGAATGTGTTCTTTTGTTATTGCCATCGTGAACACTACTGATTTTTGAGGTTATGTGCATCAAACGCCAAACCGTATGGCATTTTAGAAGGCCAAATGTCAACGCTTTAAAACCGCAAAAGGGCGGGAAGATATATAAAATTTAAATTGTTATTTCGTATAAAATATTTAAAATTTTGTATAAAATCTAAAGCTCAGAACTTTTTTATACCTAATATAAATGTATACCTAATAATTGTAATTATATATTTTTGTTTCTTTTTTACCATTCAAAGTTAAGTTTTTCACTTTGCTCATCCGTCCCCTACAGTGTGTCCCAGGCTTGGGATACGAGTCGCATTGGAAATGTAGAAGAGATTAAAGGGAACAAAGAAGTCTAATATTAATCATTTTGTGATATTCACTTTAATTTTTGAATTATAGAATAAAATATCCGAACCAATGACGAATCCGAAACACGCTCTAGCTTGTGGACGCGCGGTGTGCATGTGATGAGAAAGGGGTGACGTGTCCCTGTTCAGGTAGGACACGTCATCTTCCTCTCACTGCGCGTCCATAAGCTAGGCGCAGTAGGTCGTTTTGGTGCGGCGTAATTGGTTCGGATATTTTATTTTATAATTCGAAAATTATAGCGAATATTACAAAATCAAAGTTAAAATCGAGTTAGGTATAGCAATTTTGTAATTTTTTTTCTAAGAATTATTCTGTAGAATTAAAACTATCATTTGGATTAAAATAGAAAGACATTTTAATAGAAATACAAAGATACATACCATTTAGGGTTGGAAAGTAACTCGTTAATCGTAACAAAGTTACAATTAGAGTTACTTTTTTCAATAACTGTAACTTAACTCCGTTCTTTTTTCCATTATAACTTAATTTAATTACATTTTTTTTAGTAATTAATAATTAATTTAATAATTACTTTTATCGTTATTTTATATATTTCAAATTTGTTTGTCATTTAATTTTGACAAATTTGTGTCATTCTATCCTTGTTTTATATTTAATGATAAAATGAAACAATAGCTACGTTCAGCAGAGAAAGCAGTTTTGCAATTGTTGTAAAAATCTTTGATGTGATGGATTTTTGTTAGTTTCTCCCTTAGTTTCTCATGGATCTAAATATAAAGTAATCACATTTAAGAATTTTACATAGTTGCAAAGCTGTTTGAGTTGAACACAGCCATTGACAGCCTGCTTCTCACACTTTTAGGCTATGTTCGAAAACATTTGAGTACCCCATGTATCATTTTATTTTTCACCGAATGTTAAACAAAAATAAAATGATGCGTAGGAGCACTTGGATGACGTTTCCGAATTTAGTCTTAGTATGATTGGTTAAATGTAAAATAAGAATCAATCAAATTCGACTACTATAATAAATTTAAAGTTTTAAGTCTCGCTTAATGTCGTTGCAATAGTCCTTAGAAATATATTAGAAATATAAAATTTTTATATTTAAAATAGCAATGCACAAAACATTACAGGAAATAAACAGAGAAGTAACTAAAAAGTAACGACTCGTTACTTTTTGGGTAACTATAACTATAACTATAACTATAACATGTTATTTTTTTAAAACTTGTAACGGCAACTATTATTTTTTTGAAAGGAAACAACTATAACTGTAACTTTTACAAGATAACTTTTCCAACCCTGCATTTAGGTTATATTTTTTTTTAATAAAAACTATTATCAGTATTATCCTTTTATATTAATGTACTATTTATTATCTTTTAATTTGATTTTTTTTACTATTCTTGATTTGACTCTTTTTTTTACCTTTTTTTAAAAAGGTAATTTTATAGTGATTTATTTTTGATCCGGGAGTCCGTTTGTTGAAAAATGTTTTTTTGTTTTTCAACAGGGATTTTTGTTTGAATTACCGAATTGTCTCTTTGGAACAATGTTTGAAGCAACTAGAACAATCTATAACGCTAAAAATTTATTTAATTTTTGAAAAAAGAAGTCAATTAAAAAAATGATTTTTTTCAATTTATTGGAGAATCGTTTGGAGTAAAATAATATCGCTTTGAAATAATGTAAAACAAAGTTAGAAACAAAGTTAGAACAATCTGAAACAACTTTCAAAATTTTAATTTTTACAAGAAAGGGGCTAACTTCATACATTTTGATATAACTTCATTAATTTTTATAGTTGAACTCATCGAATGAATACGAAGATATACCTTTACTTTTTTATACTACTGAAGATGATTCAAAGTTAAATCGAAACGTTTGGAATTTTTGTTAATAAAACGAAGATCTAATCGTAAAGTATAATTGCGCAATATGTACAGTGCTGATTCTCAATTGCTCTACTGTCCCCCATGTTATAATGCTGAGAATTTTTGTTAATGTTTATATTATTGCTTGATAATTGTTAAGAAGTTTTAAGTTTCCCCGAGTGTATCAAATTTTGTATGTCATTAAAATTATATACATTGTATAATAAAACTATGTTGTTTGTGAAGTTAAGGCGATGCTGGACTGACAGGCGAACTCCGACGAAAATGTTCACACATATGCACATCTAACATACATAGATACATTTATGTATACATACATACATTTATACATACAGGCACGCATACATATCCATGAAATTTTCGAGCAAAGTATTCTCTTATATACAGCTCCTAGGCGTATTTTTAAAAGCATAGTATTGTTCTTCCTTGTAATTCCGACCCGAGTGAGTATGTGTTGTTTATATGTTCAAAGTCTAAACTTTTGTGCACAGCAAAATGTTGTCACAAGTTAACCTCAAGAATCGATAACAAAATTGTAATTTTCTAACTTTTTTTTCCTCTTTCATATGAAATATACAGACCTGGGTACATTATTGCCTATACCTCAATTCTGGAAAAGGATTTTTAATTCTGTATAATCAATGAAAAGATTACCTTGTCTGAAAATAATCGATTCAGTCGGTATATCCAGCATCGCCTTAAGTTTTTATTAAATTTTTCATAATATAAAGATAAATTTTTCATAATATAAAGATTATAAAGATAATAATTATAACGTATATACGTGTGTGAGTGTGCGTGCATGTGCGTATGCGTGTATGTGCGTGTGCGTGCGTGCGTGCGCGTGCGTGCGTGCGTGCGTGCGTGCGTGCGTGCGTGTACGTAAGCGTGTGCGTCATGTATATGCATACGTGTATGTGAGTGTGCGTATATGTGTATACATACAAAGGATGTCTTATTGATACAAATAAATATCTCGAAAAATATAGAAAACATGGAAAAACATATTAAATGAAACTTATAGGATTTCAAGCCACATGATTGTAACATTGATTCATCAGCAGATGGCGCTATTAAAATTTTTTATGGTTTTTTAAATATTGTTATACATATTTTTTGTTACATAATATGATTCCTCTAATTATTCTGAATAAAAATATCAAAGTAATAATTTATGAAATATTTTATAAAGAACATCGCTGATAGTGATGTATGTAGGTCCCCTAAAGAAATGCTTTTTTTTCTTGGAAATTAAATATTGTATTTTATTAATTCTGATATGATCTGTTATATATTATTAAAGAAATAAAAACCATAATTCATATTTATGGTAAAATCTATTTCTAAAAAATCAGCTAAAAACAGATTTTTTTTTAATGCAAAAATAAAATTCTTATAATTTTTTTTTTAAATTGAGTAGTTTAAATAATAGTGAGTACATTATTGATTACATTAAGTTATTTTACAGTTTGTAATTTCTTGAAAATTTATTTTATTTATATTTTTCTTTTTATTTTTTTATAATATTTTTTTTTATAAATTTTAAATAATGTGTTTTTATAAATTTTAATAATGTGGTTTTAAATACCATATCAGAATGTAACATAAATCGGCATCTAGCTGCTACTAAAACAAATATTATAAATAAATATTATAAAACCTAGTAACTTAATCTAATATAACTTTTATAATTGCGTTATTACTTGTGTTATATAAAAGAGCAAAAAGGAAAATAATTTATTACTTCAGTATTAATTCCTTTACTATAAAGCCACACCTAAATTCTAGTAATGTTTACTTTGTCAGTTTTGATATTCAATTTCTCAGATACTCACTTGTGGTTACCATACAAAACAATTAATTATTGCAAAATACGGAACAATATTATAAAAATTGCTAATCATATGATAGAAAACACTTTCAAATTTGTTATTATGTTTTTAAAATTTCATATTTAATTTTTGCTTAAGAAATACAGTACAAAAAATAATATAAAGATAAGAAGAAAGTAAGTAATATAAAGATATCGGCGACTCCTCTCTAGTTATTCCGGATTATTGTATTATTCTGTATATAAAATATAAAATATTTCATAAATCATTCTCTCGTAAATTCATTTTTTTATTTATTTTAATAATTTTTATTTTAATATTTTTATGCATAGAATATATAGTACATAAGATAAAACTTACCAATTTTCATATTTTGGCAAACATTCGATGGTACCATTTTTCTGAAGAATTTTTAGCATTTGCAAATATTCAAGATCTGTACCATTACATATATAAATATCTTTAGGACTGCACAATGAAGCGCATTCTTCGATGTAATAACGAAGTTTGGATGAAATCTCAACTATGCATGCATTTAATAACGGTATTTTACTGATATAATCAAATCCATTTTTAATTAATGGATTTTTTGCTGCATGAGTTACAATAAATCTTGAAATTCTGAAAAAAAAATGTTTTTATAAAAACATTAAATAAAAATAACAAAAAATACATCACAACTTTGATTATAGTGTGCGTATGTATGTGTATATAGAGATACCCTGTATATAAGTATATCAAATATTATATCTGTAATGTTTTTCTGACAAAAGATTTGCTAATTTTTTAAAAATTTTTTAAAAAAAAAATAATTTTTTTAATAGATTTTATAATTTAAAAAAAAATTTTTTTAATAAATTGGATTTTAAATAACCTTTTTTAAATAATATACACATGCACATATATGCAGATATATATATATATATATATATATATATAGTATATAGTAGTTAGTATAATATAGTATAGTATTAGTTATAATTAATAATAATATATATACTATTATAATTAATAATATATATAATATAGTATATATATTATTATTATTTATTATATATATTATATTATATATATATATATACTAAAGTTAACTTTACTACTTGTACGTAGTTCGATAGTATATAATAACTAATATTAAGTAATAACGTAGAAATCTAATATAAGTATATTATTGTATATTATTATTAGAATAGTTACTTACGTACTATGTTTATTAAATAATAAAGTATAATTATATATAGTATATATTAATATATATTATACTATATTATTATATTTATATATAACTTATTATAATAATTAATTAAATTAATTAAATAAATTTAAGTTAAGTTAAGTTAAGTTAATTAAGTTAGTTAGTTAAGTTAGTTTAGTTAGTTAGTTAGTTAGTTAGTTAGTTAGTTAGTTAGTTAGTTAGTTAGTTAGTTAGTTAGTAGTTAGTAGTTAGTTAGTTAGTTAGTTAGTAGTTAGTATGTGTTGTTGTGTGTGTTGTGTGTGTGTGTGTGGTGTGTGTGTGTGTGTGTGTGTGTGTGTGTGTGTGTGTGTGTGTGTCGTGTTCGTTGCGTGTGTAATACATTTCGTTCTGAAAACTTTTTTATGTAATTGCAAAAAATTATAATAATGTAATGATTTGATATTTTTCAACATATACAGTTTGTTTAAAAATTGAAATTCTTTTATCTTATGTATACATTTTTATAAAAAAACCTATTATATTTTCCTCCGTTATATATTTTTCAAAAAGTGATTGTTTTAAATATAAAATTGTTCTAAAATGTAAAATAATAAAGATAAAATAAATAAGTAATTATAAGTTTACCATCATTAGTTATATAAAAAATGATTTATTTCATAAACATATATTGTCATACTGCATTTATAATAAGTATCCGTTATTTATTAAAAAACTAATATACAGAACAGTAATTTATTTTTTTATTTATTAAATTATTTCATCCAACATAAACTAATTTTATTAGTTAAGTATGAATGTATGAATAGCAAAGATGTATTGTAAATTAAAACACATATGATTTTTATAATCTTTGAAGCAAATATAGAGTATCAAAATATAGAGTATGTTGTAAGTTAAAGTAAATCACTCGAAAGATGAATTAGGAATCTAAAAACAAGAAAAAAAGTTAACATAAATATGAACATATGTCTGGAAATATATTGTTTTCGAGTTCGGCATTTTTATGTTGAAATTTATATTTGAAATTGTTGTATTTCGAATTTCAATATAAAAGTGGCGATAACTCGAAAACAACGCATTTCCGGACATATGTTTATATCACCTATTTTTCTTGTTTTGAATCCCCTCCCGAGCATTTAATCTCGACGGAACACCCTATATATATTGAACAATACATCAGAAAGAAATAAGATTATCGATATTTGAACAGCTTTATTAATATGAACTAAAAATAAAAACCCACAAATTTATTAATACAATTTTTAATTTTTGATAAATATCTGAAAATCAAGAGATTTAGAAAAAACTTTAGACAAAAGTTATATGATTTTGAAGGGGACACATCATAATATATATTGATTATCATAATTTGTCCCCTAAATTATATTAATTTATTCACAAATGATTATTGATATTTTTTTATAGGCACTATTTTTTAAAGAAAGAATAAAAATTTAAAATACATTTACATTATCTTTTTAATATAATATGATTTCTTCAGTTATTCCATACATAAAAGCATCAAGAATAACGTTATCAAAAATTAAGTTTATAAGACATTTTATTCTTATTATTTTATTTAACATCAATTATAAAATATCTCACTTTTAATAATATTTTTTAATAATGATATTCAATATATGATATTATGCACAAAATAATGAGATGAATTAATTAATGCAAAGAAAAAACATAGTTATTTTTTTAGAAAAGTATGGAATTGCATATTGTATTTCTGCACAAAGATGTCAAAATATCATTATTAAGAATGAAAAGTTTACAATATATTTTATATTTCATGTCAAAATATACCAGAATAAAAAAAAGTATCTTGTATTAATGTTTTAATAGCTTTAATGTTTTATGTAAAATAACTAAAGGAATCATATATAAAATAATCATAATTCTGTTTAAAACAATTGGATATCTGTTTTGCTTTCCTTTTAAGAGATGAGCAGCAATACTTTATCTATCATCTATCATAGAAAATCTTAATAAATCCTAATTATAAAAATTATAAAAAAATTTTCTCGTTATTTTTAATAATTTCAAAGAAAAATATCTTGTAACACATTAAGTAAAAAATAACTTTATATTTTTTATATTTCTTTACATCTATAATTTCTCATACCATATTTTATTTAAAATTAAATTTTTTTTAGTAAAATTTATTGAATCACAATATGCAGACGAATTTTTTATAAGTTATGAATTATCTTAATAAATAGAAAAAC